TCCCTCAAACCCTGAACAAGACGCAGTCTCTGGTCACGGAAAGCCACTAGCTTGTGATGCTCGCCCTGCGGTGGCGAGACAGCTGCTCAGCTGGCTAGGGCCCAGCACCGCTCCAGGTTTCCAACACAAAAGCCGTTGCGGCACCATGTTCCACGGACCCAGGAAGCTACATGCTGCTCGGGCGAGGGGAGGGTGGGAGGAAGGCCTGCCCCTCCTCCCCCTTGTCCAAATCATGTGTGGCTTTCGTCTTCATGAGGTCCTTCCTTCCTCGGACTAGCTCTGGAAGAGGAACAACAAGAGTTGGAGGCTTTAACTGGCAGCTTTAGAAAGGAATAACCACAAGCGTATGCCACCAGTTCAACGCTAGCACTATCGGTCTGCCTAGGTTATGTTTTACAGTCAGCTAAGACTACAAAGACACCCCCAACTCCTCTGCAGAGCAGTAGTTCACTTCCCAGCTTTCTCCAGTGCTTCCCACTCTCATCCAACACTTCACTCCTTTAACTGGTGGGAAGAGAAAGACTAATTTCAACTCTGCTCTCTCAAGTGGTCCTTACTTGATCCAGAGGCAACGCTGATGGTTTTTGTGGCGTCAAATCTTCCCGGGACATGGTTGCTGTAGGCATCTTCGGGAAGGGAACTTGAGCCTGATGCATTTGCATTCTGGAGCCAGGTTGAACGGAGACAGTTTTAGCAAATGAACATCAAAAGCAAATCCCATCTACTTGGTTGAATGCATACATACAACATTCACATACAAGCATACATCTCATGTATTCTTTCTGGCTTCCCCCCAAAACAGAACCTTTAATCCATGCCACCCCCCCAAAGGCTTAGTTGTGAGCCAAGCCCCCTGCATACTTGAAGGAGGACTGTCATGTTGGCACTATGACAAAACAGTACCAGTCAAAGCACATTTGTAAAATCTGAACAGGGAATTTTTGGAGTTGTAGAATTTTCCACTCAGGAATAAAACGTGATATGCACAGTCTCAGTGACAAGTAATTTTCTGTGAGGGAAATTTGAGACAGAGAGGAAGGGCAAAGCAAGAGGAGGGGGAGAAGGAGGCAGTGTTAAAGTAAAGGAGTTCATAACAAGTTCATAACTTTAGTTAACTACTCTGCCCCGCTATGAGAAAGATGCAATAAAATTCTTGCAAAGAAAATGGTAACAGCTCATTTGATTAAGTGGTGCACAACCCTAGATAACACATTAACAACACATTGACAGATAAAACAAAGTACTGGTGTGGGGATGAGATGGACGGGACAGGCTAACGGGTCTCCAGGATGGCTATTGCTACCTGTTTTTAAGGAGCTGCAACAAGACTCTCCAGCTTACAGAAAGGTCTAAGAGACCTTTTACCTTAAATCTCTTAGCCTCTCAACAGCACTTGCCATCTCCTCTGACTTCACCCCATGTCCTTTCAAGGATATCCAACCTTTATCACCACCCAGGCCTCACCCCCCTCCCACCTTGCCTTCTCGCAGAAAACATGGTCTTACCCGGCGGGTCTATACAAGTCCTGGGGTGGCCCCCCCATGCCACCTCCACTGCCTCTCTGCTCCATCAGCAAGGCCTGAAAGTGACCTATGTTCTCCTCCCGGCAGCGGTACAGGGGTCCCTCCTGAGAGACGCCATTGGCCTGGCCAGAGGCTGGATGATGAGACAGGTGAGCGTTCATGGGTGATCCGTATGTCCTGGGCTGGAAATGACTGGCAGGATGCCGGGATGCATAAGGAGAGCCAGTCTGTAGCATCACCCCGTGGGGAGGGAAAGCCGACGGGCCAAATCCCATCCCCGCACCCAGGTGTGGTGGGGGAGCTCCATAGAGGAAGTCCCCTCCTGCCACTGAGCTTTGCCTCTTCGTGGCTGCGTTGTGGTTGTCCAAATCAAGAAACTCTTTGGGACTCTCCGGCCTTTCCTGGGACTCTTCAGACTTCTCATCTTCAGGCCCCAGATCCTGCCCATCGCTCGGAGAAACCTCTTTGGCACTCACTACGTCCATGCGGTTGGGAGAGGCCAAGGCAGCGCTTAGTGCCTCGCAGCCCTGCAAGCTGCTGGTGGACCCCCGGTCCGGGAAAGGGGGTCTGGCCAGGGGTGGGTGGGCGGTGGGGTGCCCGCTCGGGCTGGCCTGGGGGTGTAGAGGCCTCTGCCCGTCTGAGTAGCCCTGAGGAGCCCCGTGGGGAAAAATGCTGGGGGTGGGAGGCAGGAGGAGGGGGCTTCCCGCCCATCATGGGGCCAAACCCCTGCAGGCCTGGGTTGATGTGGTACCGCCCAGCTGAATTCGGGTATTCTAGACCAGGCATGTAGAGAGGGTGGAACTGGTTGGGGGCAGCCCCCATGGAGCCGGTGTCCATGGCAGGAAGGCTGGTGCCCTGCCCCATACAAGGCACAGCCGCTTCAGACATAGCTTTCCCCCCGCTGCAGAGGGGCTTCTCCAGCAGGTTGGCAGCTAGCCCCTTCCCCTCAGCACCAGTCACCGGCCCCTCACCTGCTGCCCCATTCTCAGGCAGGGGACCCCCTCTCTCGGAGGTGGGCACCAGGTCCCTCACACAGCCAGGGCCACCAGCATAGCTGCTGTCTGCTGGCCACGCACCCTTGCCTTGCCCTGCCTTCAGGTCACCCTTCACGCCAGAGCCATCCCCCTCCCCATCCGGGGGCAAGGCGCGCCTGGTGCACTCCATGGGCAGCGGGGGCTTAGGATGAGGTAGGAGTTTGGTGTAGGCCCCGTCGGGAATGCCAATGCACTGAGCCTTCTCGTCCACACCTGCTGGCGGCTCCACTGGAAAGAGAGGGGGGGAAAAGTCACACATAAGTCTAATGTTGGAAATTGTCCCTCCCCACCTGACACACACCCCCCCCTACTCAATGCTCATCCAAAGCACATGGGCCAAAGACTAATTTCTGCCAGTTAGCCAGGTCTACCAAAGTAGCATCTCAGCATCGTCTTTTGCTGCTGACCCAAAGTTGCTGGGCAGCTCTGTCCAACAAGTCCCTAACATTTGGACAGAGAAAGCGCCCTGCTTTCCGAACTGTGCAAATGGAAGAGAAAAAGGAGTGACTTTCTAAAGCCATGAAGGTCCTTCCACTGAAGGCTTCAAAGTATATGCTCTAAAGCCTACAATATCCTGTCCTCTACTCAAACCTCTCTACAGGAGTGTTGCAGCATGGCACCAGGACAACTGCTCTTCTGCAGGGCTCCCTCCCACACCCATCACAGTCTTTCCTTCAGAGACTTTTAGCAATTCTGAAGTGCATTTCTGCAAAGTTGGGTGACATTTAGTAGCTGCTTCTTTTAAAAAGAGCTCTTTAAAAAACTACTCATGAGGTTGCACCTCTCTTGGAAAGATGACACATGCGGACTGAGCCCTCAAGACACACACTGTAGTTTGCAAGCCACTGATAATCACACCACCACCAGAGTGGCATGGCACATGTGGGTTTGGTTAGACACATGGGTGTGGAGAGGCCGCCCAATGGAGAGGCAGAGCTGGGAAATACCGTGGTGGGGTCCACGTGACAGCAAGATAAGAAGCTGGGGCAATGGCAGCTTGATTTCAGGCTGCATTGCCCCTTCTGGTCCACACACACCACTCACCCACAACTTGGGCAGAAACACTACCACCCACCAAGATGCTGTAGAGCCAACTGCAGCCATATTTTAACCAACTGTGATTTGGAGATGCGACTACTCTGCCCTGCAATCACTCAATGTCCTCCCCCGGTCTCTGTTCTATATCCAGCACAGTTAAATGATGATGACTTTTAAGCAATGCCACACAAGGAAAGAGTTTCCTCTTGGTGCAAAGCACACGAGGGATTGATAAAAGATGCAAGGGTTTTGATCTCTAGTTTACCAGCTAGAATTAATGAAAAAAAAAAACCCAACCCTTTTTTTTTGATCTCTGGGGTTTTTTGATCTCTAGGTTTGTTTTATTTTTAAGGGTTTGGTTTTTTTTTTTTTTTTTTGATGTCTAGTTTACCAGCTAGAATGAATTAAATTCTACTGGAAAGAAACTTGCGATGGCACACATGACACACTGCCATCCCACCTGAACTGACACGGCTGCTCAGGGGCTTTCAGGCAGTCCTGTTGCGAGTTTAATATCTCAAAGTCTTCACACAAGGCACATGTGCATTTCAGAGGAGAAGCTGTGCTGACATATACTCAAAGGAGTGTATTTAAACCATTTATTCACATAATGTCTTCTTTCCTTACCTAATTCTCTGCAGATCCAATTTTTATATTAACTTCAAGTGAGCTCTAGAAGCATCACAGCCGATGCTTTGCATTTGCACCCCATGGCAAGCTGATAGCTTGCAAGTATAGCTGGGACAGGGGGCACCTCTGGCAGGCTACAGTGAAACAAAACAGCCTTAAAAAAAAATCTAAGTGATGGCTGGAGCAGAAAATACATTCCAATTTAGATTAAAAAGGACATGCGTAAAAAAATGTGTGTCCCACAACTATTTAATCAAGAATTTAATTATTTTCTAGACGAAACCCCCTGCTTTTGTTGCTGAGCCTCAATCATTGCTTAAAATTGACTCCGGTAAGCCTGAAAATCAGGGCATTATTTTTTGCTTCTCTAGGGGCACGAATCCAAATAAAACCACATTTACAGACACAGGTTTTGTGCATCTGCAGGACAGTTAAAGTTTGGGACCCTAAAAGTTTGGACCACAAGAGCAACAAAGCTGGCCTGGGGGTGCTCCCTCGCCCTCCTCACAAGCACACACCAGCAGGCAGAGGGTCTGTACTGGCATGGGAAATGGAGATGCTGTGCAGTGGGCAGGAAGGATGCCTGGCAGTGAGCAAAGGGACAGGCAAGGAAGGTCAAACTAGAGGCAGGGGCTGCTGTGGTGGTAGGCAGGCACTTGAGGGATTACCTTGGTTGTTCTCTGGCTCCATGGTCTGACCGGTGGGATCCTGCGAGCTCCCGTTCCCCACAATGGGTTTCGGAGGCTGCACGCCAGTGGCGGAGGCAGCGTGAGCCAGCTGGGGAAAAGGTCCAGGGAGGTGTGGTGGGGGTGGCTGGCGAGGGTGGTAAGGCACACCCGGTGGGCACACGCGGGAGGACAGCTGCTGCATGGCGATCATCTCCGGGCTGTCCATCATGGAGTCCCCACCCTGGCACCCTCTTTGAACCTGAGGTGGTCCCCCAAACAGAGGGGTCGGCGGCTGCGGCATCCTCTGGCTGGTGGCTTTCCCAGGCGGTCTGATATACCCTGAGGGAGGCACCCCGTGAGGTAGGAAATTTGATTGATCGGTCCACTGGCTGGGAGGCAGCGGCGGCCTCATGGCCCGGGGGTCCATCATGTGACTCAGGGTGCGGGGCTGGAGCGAGGGCCCTGGCCCCATGGGTGCCTTCTCCTCTGGCCCCACGGTACCCTGGCCAGTGGGGCCGTGGCTGCCATTCCATAGAGCTGGGTGCGCACGGTTCAGGTACTTGTAGGGCCGGTACATGTGCCCTGGGGGGACCTCCGAGCCCTCCGGCGGCCTCACGGGGGGCCCGTTGTGCCTTGGCGGGAGGAAGCCCTGCTGGAACTGGGCCGGTGGGTAGACGGCATCAGGCGGGGGGCCGCTCACACGCCCCAGCTGCAGGGCACCTGGCCGGGGGCCAAGGCCAGCGACATGGGTCGGTCCTGCACAAGCCTGCTTCTCTGGGGCGGCCAGCCCGTGCGCGCCCGCGGGGCTCGCTCAGTCCCACGGCCGGCTGGGGAGGAGGGAGAGAAAGAGACAGGGTGGGTCTCAGTGAGAGCCGTCACACTGAGGAGTGGAAGAGACCTGTGGGTACCAGGGTGCTGGATCCCTCGGCTGCAGTGTTTCCTACCTGCATGGCAAAGTGCTGGTGCTGCTGGACTGGGTCTCCGGGATGGGGCTCAGGCACTCGCGGCGAGCCGTACAGTTTTGTGGGATCTGATCCACGCAGGGGACCAAACGTTCCTGGCACAGCTGGTCTCTGGGATAGGAGGAGGGATGTGGGAAGGAGAAATAAAACAATTTGTGAAGTGCAGAAAAGCAACAGAACTGTTGCAGGTAAGGGGAAGCCAAGGCTTCAGGAGCCACATAGATGAGCAGATGGGCTTTTTGGAGGTACCATGAAAAACCCGTAGTCTCTTTCCTATGAGGTGACATAGCTCCCCTGCCAAAGCCACTACCTCACACCCCAGCCATGTGTTCCTGCACTCAAGGTTGCAATACACTTGCCACCCAACTACTTAGGAGCAAGCAAGAAGACTGGAGGGGGCAGTGGCTCGCTTCAAGGAGGGGAGTGGACCACAAGAGCAAGCAAACGGGACAACAGGGGAACACGTTGGATTTCCTTCAAAATACTTGTTGCCTCCAGCTCTCCTACCGCTTCCCACTGTCTGCATCACAAGGATCGCTCTAAACATTTTGTTTGATCTCTAGCTAAAAAGGCAAGGGGTAGCCTGGATCTCAGAGGAGCACCATACCACAAGACATCACTGGTTAAAATGGAAAAGGCAGTGAAGGATGGGTGAGGAACAGTCCAGAGGGGAGGCAGAACAGGTCGCATTCGGAGAAGAAATGTTGGGCTACAGGGAGGTCACAGCCTTTTTACTGCTTTTATAAATACTGAAGGCATGAAACGCAGTAGTACACAGGTGGCACAAAGTTATCAGGCATCTGTAAACAATTGAGACAAAAGAAGACTGGCTTGTTCAGCATCATAAACTGGGGGTTAAGAGAGGAAATGTGACTGCTTTCTATGCTTAGCAGGGTAACTCTCCAAGGAGAGAAGAGAACTGAGGGAGCCAGGGCTGGTGCAAGCCAACATGGGGACATGCCAGCCACAGGAAACATTAGGAGACTGTTCCCAGCTAGTGTGGCAAAGACTGAAACTGTACCAGTTTAAATCTCAGGGCTGAAAAGTTGCAGTTGTAGAAACCATAGCCCTGACCCTTAATCTCTGGGAAAAGGTTCTTGCCACATGGTAGGGATTTTACAGTAGTGAGATTCATTCCCCATTACCTCCCTCCCTCCGCAGACCTGACAGCTGAAGCATAGCAGAAACTGCTCCTTACCATCTGGCCGGGATGTGGCACAGGGTTGGGCATGCCACCGTACTGCAGAGAGCGAGGGAAACCTCGCCCATTGGAAGGGCCCACATCTCGAGGAGGCTGCATTGGGTTGCCACTTGGATCCTCTGCAGAGGACGAGGAGAAGGAGGAAGAAGAAGAGGAAGAAGAAGCAGGAGCCCTGGAAGTAGCTCGATATGGTGGAGGCTTTCCTCCATTTTCCAGGCGTTGCTGCCTCTTGCCTGGTCCATCTGAGTCTCGTGACCGAGTCCAAACATTGCCTGTGCTGGAGCGGCCGGTCCGACGGCTCCTCTTCTCTCGTCTCCCATCTTCTCTGATCCAAAACTCCTCATCTGTATCTCCATCTTCCCCAGGGAAGTGCTTCATCATTGCTCGGTGGAAACACCTCTCTAAGTTGTAAGCCATCTTGGTATATTCTGCAGTCAAAAAAACTCAGTATCAGGGACAGAGCCTCATAGAAACAATTAAGCAACATCAGACTTTCCCCATCAGATAAATCATATACCCTCCACAAAGTTTCTTTGAGAAGGACTTTTGGTTTTAACTAGTTGGCTTTGGTTGATGTTCTTAAACTCTATAAGCAACACAGCATCAGATTTGTTCAGTAACCCCACTGGAAGACAGACGCATAGGCATGATAAAGTACCATTAGTGGCACAGCCTGCAAAGTCAGCATTAACGCAGTGTTCCAGCATAGTGCCAAGAATTACATTATGAGAAGCACCACCTCTGCTCGCAGAGATGCGTGACCTGCACAGTTAGCCAGCAGAGTGCCGAGAGAAGAACTGTGAACTTTCAGCAATGTTATTTGATTACATTTCTTGGACTCGTTTAAATCTCTGCTGTATGCTACAAAACAGAGGAAAATCAGCAAATATATTTATCCATGTAGAATTTCTAAAGCACTGGCTGACCCTGACACAAAAGCTATTGCCAACACCAGTGTCCCCATTGCATCATCTCCATAGGACAGTTCTGCCCAGAGGGCCTCCTACTTTTCATTGCAGTGGATAGGAAGGAAAAAACACGCAAGAGGTGTTAATGACAAAGGCTTGAAGCAAATGACTTTCCAGTTGTTTCCCCTAAACTAACCCTGAAGTTCCTTGGGAAACAGAGCTCTCCGAGTGGAGGGACAAGCTGGGTAGCTCTAACTATTTTCCCTATCACGGCAGGGCTGGTGAGACACAGTCTGCAGCAATGACCCACCATATGGGAACCAATTTCTTACCTAAGCAACATGTAGAATTTTAATTGGCATGGCATTTAAAACCCAGGGTTTCCCATCTGCAGACTCATGTTGTTCATTCATTAGCTGAAGAACCTAGAAACTACATTTCCCATCCAAAAGACCACAAGCCTGGTTCATTCCTTACTTTTCTGTGGTATTCCAGAAACACTGGGAGCTAACCAGGCTTCAATGCTTTTCAAAGTCTGCATTAGTTATTATGAGAAAAAGGGGCACACAGACACATACACAAGCACATGAAGGAATAAGCTCAGAAAGAAACAGATGTTTCTTCTCTTTGTATGTTCTGCCTTCACCATCTACTAACACGGGAGTCCCTTAGTATGCCATGTCCCAATTCAGCATGAACAAGCTGTGCTAAAAATCTCGCTAAAACCCCAGGCCTTATTACTCAGGAGCTCCTACTCTTTCGTTCAGCCTCCCAAAAATACCCTGAAAGAGAATAAGCACAAATCAAGTACTGATGAGTAGGAAGAGATCACTGCTTGTTTTGACTGAGCACTGCAAATAGACGAACTTAGCATCTTACTGCTCTTACCACTGCCTTCACCATTGTACTTAAGACAGTTCCTGAACATGGTCTTCATATCGCCCACAAATTCTTCCTTGGTGCAGTACTGACCTCCGTTCAACTTCTTCTCCATGCTAGAGATGTCCATGGGGGCCTGAAATGTAACAAAACCTCCCTTCAATTATAGCAAGTGTGGTGGGGCTTACAAAGTTGCATAGCTAGCTTCCTCACAGAGAGGGGATAGGGAGCAGATGCTGCTCTCCTGAGACGCAGCCTCTCATCTTTGGTTTCCTTGACTTGAAAGGTTAGAAGGGACTACTGGAGTCATGCAGTTTGACTGCAAGGGTAACACAGCCCACAAAACTTCAAAACACTTCCAAAAAACCTCATCCTGTCAACGTGCATCAGTCAAGATGGCTGGACCATTTTACATACCTTAATGATCTGGTAGTAGTTGGGAGCATATGATTCATCAACAGGCTCCAAGAAGGGCCAAGAGTCCTTGTGAGCCTTTACCACATCTAGAACTGGCAGTAGCAAAAGAAATGTGAGTGGTTACACATGTGTGCCCAGGGGAGTACTTCACTTTAAGGAAGTCATGCAAAAGGGAAAGCTGAGGCAGGACTAACCTTTGTACATGGCTGTGAACTCATCATCCAGTTCAAAGCTGTAATGGGAAGCACAACAGTGAATATGCAGACTGAGGACATATAAGACATGCTGTCATACTTCATCTTCCCTTCCACCCCCCCACCCCCTCCCC